ACGGACTTTGTAGAGTATCGTTCCCAGCGCTGAAATGAAGCTACGGAATTGACTGGACGAAGTTGTATTGTGGCAGACGCTGTTTCCGTGCATAGCTAAATACGACACACAACGACACAGGTAACTAGGGAAGGAGGTGAGGGACAGCGCGATGTAGCAACGTGTTGAATCCAAGCCTGGCTCCGTGTTTGTATTCCGAGTGTTATTTGGGTTACCCAAACAGATGTAACATATACAGCAGCATTTCGCGAACGACCTCTAAGTGCACAACAAGAAAGTACTTTTATTTACTATGGTACCAAACATACTCGGGCAATGCCGGGGGTATCACCAGACTGCCACACAGCCATCCTCTAGCAGGAAATTTGCTAACAGTCCTTCGATCTACTTGTGGACTGTCCGTCGTGGGCCGGCATCATGCAAGACCGGGTGGTGGAACTTTATGCAGCTTCTTGGGACGAACTGGGCGACCAGATCCTAAGGTGCCTTAATCCGTGTCCTCCTTAAATGTGTGGAAACGAAAAATGTTTGCAAAAATGGTTCACAAGAACTAATGGTTCGACGGGACACGTTCTGGGTATAAGATGAGGCGTCCGACTCCAACGCAAAGGTGAGCAAAATTGTCCAGGCGCAAGTGGAAAGCAAACGAGAAACAGCAATGACAATAGTGCAAAGTGATAACAAGTACTAAACTAAAATGACCAGAAAAAACCTTTTGGGTTTTCAAAATGTTTTAAGCTTTTTTGCGGTGGTTTCAAAACATTTTGCCATTTTTTGTTATTTTGAAAAATGAACAAGTGGCTCTAAGCAGAAAAACGCACTGTATAAATAAAACAACGACGGTAATGCACTTGCCCGAATTAGTCGTCCTATGTGCACCGGAGGACGTTGGGGAATTTTCAGCAGAATTCACCAAAATTCTACGGCTATGCGTTGCTGGTGGTGTAACAGACATATTTACAGAGGCCCTGTCGTGGTCTAGATGGTTGATATTTAAATTTTTAATAGCTACGGACTCATGTTTCCCGTAACAAGTGAGGAAATATACATTGTCGCTTGGTTGAAAGATCCTAAATGGTCATTCTAGAACGTAGCCAGGAATCGCTTGACGCCGTCAACTCGTGTGAATACATGCGTACAAGTTTGGAGCTCCGGCGGCACAGAGGTTTCAAAGCTCTGGGCACGGGAGCGATTACGTGCGCAACGACGCATGCGTGACGCTAGTTGTTTTGCAAAAGCAGCGTCATAGACGATGGCGTCTGAAGCTGTAGAGTTTAGTCTCCAAGTAGACAAAGTGGTTGACCGAGAAGTCCTTCTGCCCTAGCTACGTGTGGGACGAATGTGAGGCTAGCACGTATGGTTAACGTGACGGTACGGAAGAACTCCGTCCCTTATTGAGGTTTTGCTGCGGTGAGGCTGGCTTTTAGTTGATGATGGACACGCTCCATTATTCCAGTTGATTGTGGATAGTAGGAGGTAGTAGGAGAGTGTTTGCAGCCTGGAAGCTTTAGCGTGCCTTAGAGTTATGCACTCCCTAACTGTTATCCTCTGTCTGTCGTTACGGCTGATAGAAAACCTTATAGAGAAACCCAGCGACTCACGAAAGCACAAAGGATCTCAGCCGTGCTATCCTTTGGTAGCGCGCCTGCTGCTTACTCCCTGGTAAAGCGGTCCATGCCTGCCAACTGGTAGATCATGCCGTTAGATGGTGGAATTGGACCGACGATATCCATGTAGATGTGGGCGAGTCGAGAGCTGGCTGTCGGGAAATTACCAATAAGTGCATTTACATTGCGTTGTATTTTCAATGGTTGGCAGCGAAGACTTGTGCGGGCCCAATGAGTAACGCCCCGTTTAGTGTTGCTCCACGCGAAACGCTTTGTGACGAGCTTACTAGAGGAGCGAATACCTGGGTGTGATAACATATGGATTTTGTCGAACCCGGTACGGCGAAAAGTATGCAGAACTATAGGACGCGGATAGCGTTGTGAGACATCACACCTAATATGTCCTTCGGGAGCTGGTAACGGAATTGGTCGAATAAGAAGGGAGGTAAAACTTCCGAATTGATCGACCTACGAATATGTCTGTTGTGCAGCAGCCCTCGTTACTAGACCGAAGCAGTGACCAGGTGTGCTTTAATTGACGCATGACAAGGCTTCTGCGACAAACATTTGCATACCTGAGACCTGGGGTATGTCTGATGTGAACTGTGAGACAGTCTAAATGGCGGATCACTCTATCCGAGCAGTTATCGGAAGATGGGGCTATCGCATACATTAAACGTTCGTGGTCAGTGGAAATTACGAAGTCTCTACTTTCGGAGGAAGATTGAACGTAGCGAGTGGCTGAATAAAATGCAAGGGGGTTTACTCAATCGTGCTGTAGCGGGTTTCGGCGGTTTGCAACTATTTCGAAAATAAAAATAGTGGTTGCTTAGACATATCAACAAACTGCTGAAAGACATCTGCTACCGCTACACTCGAATCATCTGTTACTAGAGAGAGGAGCAACTGGTTGTGGTTGCGTCAATAAAGCAGTGTTTGCAAGCGTGTTTTAAATTCTATGAAAAGCGATTGATCAGCATCAATGGAACTAAAATACGCTGACTGCCAGAAAGCATGTCAGGTACAGGCTGCATTATGTTTGCGCAATTGAGATGAAACGGCAGTAATAGTTTACTACGCCGAGAAAGCATGAGAGTCTTTTAAAGATGAAGGCCCAGCGAAATATTTGATGGCACCAACTTTTTGGGAACGGCCTGGATACCGGATGCAAGGATCAGATGTTGCAGAAATTCAACTGACGCTTTTCCCAGTCTGCACTTAGCGGGGTTAACGGTAAATCCACGGTCATACGAAAGATGAAACAGCCGTTGCAGGTGTTCCAGCTGTTCTGGTTTGGAGGCGCTTGCTACCAACTGTCGTCCAGATAAAGATAAGCAGCCTGTAACGTCGTGTATAAACATTTGGTAGGCTTGTGCGACATTTCTTAGGCCATACGGCGCACGCAGAAACTCCATTAGACCAAAAGGTGTAATGACCGCGGTCTTAGGAATTTCGAATTCTGCGACTGGAGGCTCATGGTATGCGCAATTGTGGTCGATTTTACTAAACGTGGACTTACAATTTAAGCTGCAAATAAGACCATGAATGTGCTGAATAGGATATTGGTCGGAGCCACACAGTCGCCAGTCTTCTGCGGCTCCATGTGAAGTGGTGAAGTCCAATATCAAGTTCGAGCATATGCTCGAACTCCGCTTTGGTCATCTTCAGTTTTTCAGGGACAAGGCGTCGAGGCCGAGCAGGGACTGGTGAACCGCGGGTCCGTATATGATGCGTTGCGTCAGTTGTCACAGAAAGAATGGCTTTAGAAGGGCGAACCAGCAGTGGGAACAGCGCGAACAGTTTCAGTAGGTAAATGTCGGCTCATGGCTGGGGATAAAGGGAAGTGATGGTTTCGGATGACGTCTCCCATCCACAAATAGAAAAACGTGTATGTGGCTTGTTTAGCTTTTGCTTACGAGTATCGACCATTGCATCGAAATTATGAAGGAACGCTATACCGGGGAGGGCAAACGGTACTGCAGCTACTGTAAACCTCCAACGGAATTTGTGCCGAAGGCGAAGTTCGATGTTTAGGGAACGCTGGCCAAAAGTGGCTATGAGCGTCCCGTTGGCGGCACGTAGGTTTAGTACCCACTGCTTCGTCGATTCGTTTGGGCTGGGTGGGGAGACAATGACTGCCACCGCAGTGTCTACTAGGAACATGGTCCACGGGGTACAATCTGACAATTTGCGAAGACGACTTGCGGAATTTTGATCAGCCGCATCAGTCGCCAGTATTTGGCAATCAGTTTGTTCTGAGCCCCAGTTAGTATATTTTTGCAACAGTCTATGAATAGACACTGCACCATCGGAAACCATGGAACTCAAAACAAGGTACAGAAATAGTAAAAGAAAACACAACACAACACAACAATGTCCACGGTTTCGTCAGAGGGCGAAAGCCCCCGTTAGTGGGCTTCGGCGGACCGTTGTTTTTGGCCTCTAGCAGACTGTGCATCTGATGTCGTGTGTCAAGGCTTTGTTCAGTCTGTTTCTTCTTGGTGCATGCAAAATTGCAAGGTTTAATGCAAGTTCTTGCAGCGCTATCCGAACGCGCATGGTAAAGGCATACAGAGCGACGTGTGGTACTACGAATGCGACTAGGAGAACGGTGTGGGTCTCTGCGCTGCTGCTGGTGCTGTCTTAAACGTTAAAATTTATGTTTTGTTGTGGCGGTTTCGTCCAGCAGGGCCTGCCTTGCGGACAGGTTGGTAACGTTATAGTTTAATGGAGCGACGATGTGCATTTGGTAAGGCGCGGTAGCTGGCCGTGCGATGCTAGATGAAGCGCAAATTAGTTCAGTGTAATGATCCAGTACGCTCTCTGCCATTCCGACGATTTCTGAAAATGGTTTAAACTTGGAGTGGCCAAAGACAGCCAGCATGTGCTCAGAAAAATTTGCAGCCATAGTTACTGAAGCAAAGATTTCCTGCTGAAGTCTTAGGAGACGACGCGTCTCCAGTAAGAGTGTCGACAGCTTTTTGCTACCTAGCTGCAAACCAGTAAAGAGTTGATGTAGGCGACGTCCGTCAGAAGGCGTGCATGATTTTATTACGGCAAATTTCCGAGTGTTTTAGGATTAGTCGGTCAACTGTCACGATTAGACCTACAAGATGGACAGTGAGATCCAAGGGCCGACTAGATAACAGAAAATTGTACTTATCTAAATCACGTGTGACACGGTCATAGGCAAATGCTGCTTCTAAGATCGAGACCCAAAAAGCACTGGCGACCTCCATAAACGGAGCAAGTACCAGGGTGCCTGAATGTACAGCCTGCTCGTCCTTATTACACATAGTGATTGAGGCCATGGTTCAAAAATTAATAAACACCTAGTGAAAGTGGATGAAAGAGTTTCACCAACTCGACCAGGAAACAATATAACGGACTTACTAAATAAGGCGGAGATAATTCCAGCCTGAATCGTCAACGTAGCAGGGAATTAATCGGAACGGCCTCACCAAAGCAGTGACGAAAATGTTTGTTGCCAGCGACGATTCTTGTCCGGGTCACCATGGTATCGAGGCTGGCCGGCGCACTCTAACGGACCAA